AACAGAACCCACAAAACAGAGCCCACAAAACAGAACCCACAAAACAGTCCCCAAAACAGAACCAAAACAGCTCTCAAAACAGAACCCACAAAACAGCTCTCAAAACAGAACCCACAAAAAAGAGCCCACAAAACAGAACCCACAAAACATAGCCACAAAAACAGTCTCAAAACAGAACCCACAAAACAGAACCCAAAACAGCCAAAACACAAAACAGATCCCAAACAGCTCTCAAAACAGAACCCACAAACAGAGCCTACAAACAGAACCAAAAGAGCCCACAAACAGAACCACAAACAGTCTCAAAACAGAACCTACAAAACAGATCCACAAAACAGCTCTCAAACAGAACCCACAAAACAGAGTTCACAAACAGAACCCACAAACAGAGCCTACAAAACAGAACCCACAAAAACAGAGCCCACAAAACAGAGCCCACAAAACAGGGCCCACAAAAAGCTTCAAACAGAAACTACAAAACAGAACCCAAAAGAGCCCACAAAACAGAGCCCACAAAACAACTCTCAAAAACAGACCCACAAAACAGAGTCACAAACAGAACCCACAAAACAGAGCCACAAAACAGAACCACAAACAGAACCCACAAAACAGAACCCACAAACAGAGCCTACAAAACAGCTCTCAAAACAGAAACTACAAAAGAACCCACAAAACAGAACCCACAAAACAGGACCCACAAAACAGAGCCTACAAACAGAACCACAAAACAGAACCTAACAAAACAGAGCCCCACAAACAGCCCAAAACAGAAACTACAAAACAGAACCCACACAAACAGAGCCCACAAAACAGAACCCACAAAACAGAACCCACAAAACAGAACCAGCAAACAAGCTAAAACAGTCTCAAAACAGAAACTACAAAACAGAACCCACAAAACAGAACCACAAAGAGAACCCACAAACAGAGAAAACAGCTTCAAAACAGAAACTACAAACAGAACCCACAAAACAGATCACAAACAACCACAAACACCCACAAACAGAGCCTACAAAACAGAACCCAAACAGAACCCACAAAACAGAACCACAAAACATAGCCTACAAAACAGTCTCAAAACAGAAACTACAAACAGAACCCACAAACAGAGTCTACAAACAGAACCCACAAACAGAGCTCACAAAACAGAACCCAAACAGCCAAAACAGAACCCACAAAACAGAGCCTACAAACAGTCTCAAAACAGAAACACAAAACAGGAACCAAAACAGAGCTTACAAAAACAGAACCCACAAAACAGAGCCCACAAAACAGAATCCCACAAAACAGAGCCACAAAACAGCCAAAACAGAAACTACAAAACAGAACTCACAAAACAGAACCACAAAATAGCTCACAAACAGAGCCAAAACAAAAAACAGACACACAAACAGAGCCCACAAAACAGAGTCTACAAAACAGAGCCCACAAAACAGAGCCCACAAAACAGAGCCTACAAAACAGAGCTCACAAAACAGAGCTCACAAAACAGAGCCCACAAAACATAGCCCACAAAACAGAGCCCACAAAACAGAGCTCACAAAACAGAGCCCACAAAAAACAGAGCCCACAAACATAGCTGCCACAAAACAGGGCCCATAAAACAGAGCCCACAAAACAGAGCTCACACAAAAAAGGGCCCATAAACAGAGTTTGACAAAAACAGGGCCCATAAAACAGAGCCCACAAAACAGGGCCCATAAAACAGAGCCCACAAAAACAGAGCCCACAAAACAGAGCCCCATGAAAACATAAGCCCACAAAACAGGGCCCATAAACAGAGCCCACAAAAGGCCCACAAAACAGAGCCCATAAAACAGAGCCTCACAAACAGGGCCCATAAAACAGAGCTCACAAAAAAGAGCCCAAAACAACAGAGCCCACAAAAACAGGGCCCACAAACAGAGCCCACAAAACAGAGCCCACAAAACAGAGCCCACAAAACATAGCCTACAAAAACAGGTAGCCCAAGTAAAACAGAGCCCACAAACAGAGCCCACAAAACATAGCCCACAAAACAGAGCTCACAAAACAGAGCTCAAGCAAAAAACAGACAAAACAGAAAACATAGCCCACAAACAGGAGCACAAAACAGAGCTCACAAACAGAGCCTCACAAACATAGCCCACAAAAACAGCCCACAAAACAGAGCTCCACAAACAGGGCCTGCTAAAACAGAGCCTAAAACAGAGCCCACAAAACAGAGCTCTGGAGGAAAAAGACGAAACAGAGCCTACAAAAACAGAGCCAAAACAGGGCCCATAAAACAGAGCTCACAAAAAAGGGCTCCAAGAGCTCACAAACTCACAAAACAGGGCCCTATAAAACATAGCCCACAAAACAGAGCCCACAAAACATAGCCCACAAAACATAGCTCCAGCCCAAAACAAAAACAGAGCCCACAAAACAGAGCTCCACAAACATACAAAACAGAGTAGCCCACAAAACGCCCACAAAAACAGCCCACAGGCCCAAAAACAGAGCCCACCAGACAAAAACAGAGCCCACAAAACAGGAGCCCCACAAAACAGAGCCCACAAAACAGGGCCCACAAAACAGGGCCCACAAAACAGAGCCCACAAAACAGAGCCCACAAAACAGAGCCCACAAAACAGAGCCCATAAAACAGAGCCCATTAAAGATGTTACAGTAATCGCTTTTTGAATGGTTTTCAGTTAAAAAACTGTTGCATCACAAGTGAATTAGGATAGAATATTATTGTAATACAACAGTTTTTTAACTGAAAACCATTCGAAAAGCGATTACTGTAACATCTTTTGAAGGAAAGAAAGCGAAAGTCATTGCTTTCGTCACTTTCCACTGTAATACGTACGTCATTTCAGCAAAAATATTACATTTCCATATTCTCAGAAATAAATAGTAGTTTTGCTGAAACGTAATGTATTTCAATGTAAATTAGGTTAAACTACATGAAAACAAAAGACTTTACCTAACCTTCCGATGTTCAAGATATGTTACTCGTTTTTTTAAAAGTTTTCGGTTAAAATACTGTTATATTAGTGATATTCTATTCATACTGTGCTTGATATAATACATTCACGGAAATGTAATATTTTTGCAACTACAATGCTGATGTCAACACAAGCGTGGTTACAGCGAGACTGACTGAGTGAGGGTGACGACGCGCTATGCGTGTGTGTGTGGGTTAGCGGGAGCGGGCGGTGTGCAGTGTTCGGTGCCGCGCGCGATTTGAATGTACTTCAATTACTTCAATGTACAGAATATTCCTCCGGCGGGGCAATCCGCGTATCCGTGAATGCTAAACCCGCGTATGTGAAGGGCCGACTGTACTGTACTTACCACAAAAGATGTTGACTGCTGCGTGAGGATTGGTGGTGCGAAGGAAGTTATTGGGAGGGAGAGGGAGGGGCACTACTCTCTTCTGCCCTGCCCTGTAAATCATCATCTGCTTTCACCTTTTTTCTGAATAACTCATCCAAAGGTGTTTGACGTTTACGGCGCACCTTCTCCTTGTACAGCTCAGTGTAGGAACTGAGAGCATTGTTAACTGCTCTTGCAATCTTGATGTTCCTTTCACGGTTGGGGTCGTTATCAGCCAAGAGTTGCAGACCTTCCTGTGTTAGTGCAAACGCTTTAGACATATCCTTTGTTGTCTACTGAAGTGGGGTGGGTGGAGATTCTATATCCTCTTCTTGTCCTGCAGCTCTCTCTTGTTCCAACATCATCAGATCTTCATTAGTCAAATCTTCTCTGTGGGACTCTAACAGTTCAACCACATCATATTCTATGACTTCTTCAAAGCTGACATTATTTGCAAGTGTCACAATGTCTTGTTGAACTTTCTGTAGACTTCCAGCTTGTGAAAAACCTTGAAATTCATGGACACACTCTGGCCATATGTTTTTCCATGAACCATTCATAGCTGAGGTTTTCACTTCATCCCATGACTCGGCTATATTATCCACAGCATCCAAGATGTTGACCTTTTTCCAGAAGTCCCTAATTGTAGGTTTATCCTCCCCATCAATTGCTTTTATGAGCTGCAAAAAAGTTTTCCTAAGATAATATGCCTTAAAGTTAGCTATCACACCTTGATCCATTGGCTGGAGCAAGGAAGTTGTGTTCTTCGGGGATGTACTCCACTCTCACATTATCAGAAAGATCATTTAAATTTACTGGGTGGCTTGGTGCATTGTCTAAGAGGAGCAATGCTTTATTAGATATGTTACGCCTGGCATTATATCTTTCTACAGCAGGGCAAAAATAGTTAGTGAACCAGTCTTGGAAAAGGGTCATAGTCATCCAAGACTTCTTATTGGAATGCCAAATCACAGGTAGATTAACCTGTCGTTCAGGCACTTTTGGCGAACCGGCCAAAAAAGCATTTTTCGTAAGGTCCGGACCTGAATTTTTGTCATTTTTGGCGATCCCGCAAAAAATTAAATTTTCATAAGGTCCGGACCTGTCGTTTTGGCACTTTTGGCGAAACCGGCCAAAAAAGCATTTTCGTAAGGTCCAGACCTGAATTTTTGTCATTTTTGTCGACCCCGCAAAAAATGAAATTTTCGTAAGGTCCGGACCTGTCGTTCCGGCACTTTTGGCGAACCGGCCAAAAAAGCATTTTTCGTAAGGTCCGGACATGAATTTTTGTCATTTTTGGCGAACCTGCAGAAAATGCAATTTTCATAAGGTCCGGACCTGTCGTTTCGGCACTTTTGGCGAACCGGCCAAAAAAGCATTTTTCGTAAGGTCCGGACATGAATTTTTGTCATTTTTGGCGACCCCGCAAAAGATGAAATTTTCGTAAGGTCCGGACATGAATTTTTGTCATTTTTAGCAAACCCGCAAAAAATAAAATTTTCGTAAGGTCCGGACTTGGCATAGCCCTTGAGAGCCCCTGGATTTTCTGAATGATACAGAAGTAGGGGCTTTAATTTCATGTCACCTGAAGCATTTCCTCCCAGAAGAAGTGTTAAACGATCTTTGGATGCTTTAATGCCTGGTGCTGATTTTTCTTCAGTGGAAATAAAAGTTCCCTCAGGCATGCACTTCCAGAAAAGCCCAGTTTCATCAACATTGTACACTTGTTCTGGTGTGTAACCTCCATCAATAATTTTCTTCAGCTCAGCAGGATATTTATTAGCAGAATCTGTATCAGCACTGGCAGCTTCACCGCTCATTTTTATGTTGTGTAAATTAAGGTGCTTCTTAAACCTTTCAAACCAGCCTTTACTAGCCAGAAAAGGTTTAGCCTCAGAAGATGCACCTTCCTCTTCCTGCAAATCATTATACAAACTTATGGCTTTCTGTTGAATGACCATAGTGTTTAGTGGCACATTGTGTTTAGTCTGATCTTCAATCCAGACACTAAGGAGTCGTTCCATATTTAGCATCACATCACTTCTATGAAAATACAAGGTTCGAGCAGTTAATGGAGTAGCAGCTTGAGCACTTGACCTAATTTTGTCCTTATTATCACGGATTGTTCCCACTGTTGAAGTAGCAAGACCTAATGTTTTTGCAATCTGGCTAAGTTTTTATCCAGCATCAAACCTTCTTAAAACGTCAAGTTTAATATCCAATGTAATGCCTTTGCGGCTTCTATTTGCACTACTGCGGTCACTTCCACTTGATGGCCTCTTTCCAGTCATCTTGAATAAGGGTAATGCACTGTACTGTACTTACTGTATGTTTGTAAAAGTTAAATCAAACTGCTGGGGCGAGAAACATGCTCGCAACACTGGATGTAAACAATGGACTGACTCCGCGTGGCAATGCCACGCTTGGCGGTAGCAAACACCAAGAAATCCACACCAAACAAATTATCATTTTTAACAAAAAAATTTAATTTTATATTGTGATTTTTTTTTAATTGTTAAAATTTACCCCAATTTCCGTAAGGGCGGATTTACGGGCCGTAACGCAAAATTATTGGCCATAATTTACAAATTCCGGTAGAGCGAAATTCTGTAACCCGGACTTCCATAGCGCGGGGGATGCCTGTATTTGTATTATTATTATTATTATTATTATTATTATTATTATTACACACACACACACACACATAAAAAAAAAGGGAATTAGACAGCAAGCATGAGGAGTGAGAGTCCTATTGTATGATAAATTTGTGTGTGTGTGACTGCATGGTAGTGAGTTAAATATCAGCTGCTGTGGAGTGCTTGGCAACACTCATTTCCACTCCATCTCTCTAATTACCCACACCTTTCTGCTTTCTCACTCCATATTTTAAAATGTTATGTAACGTAATGTTGAAGGGATACAACTTTCCTCATTTCTACTTATACTTATCACAATCTCTCTAAATATACTTTAGGTTTTGCTGTTTATTCATGTGACCCACTAATCCTCCACCCAAGAAAGGGTGACCTGACATTCCCTAAGAAGGTCAGTAATATGAGACCACTAACCCCCCCACCCTACCTCCACCTGACATTGTATCAGGTCAGGTCAGTTACATGAGACCCACTAATCCCCCAGAGCTCCATGGGAGTGGAAAATACCAGTCTTTGCTGTAACACACAGCTTCATTCACGACCATATCATATAGATTTTAAATTTTTAAATATATTTATTTAACCAGACTTTAGATAAACTATTCTGGATTATTATAGTAAAGAAATGGAGTTTCTAACTTAATTAGAACTGCATTTATGGACTCCAGTAGTTTAGACTCAAGGAAAACATCCCCAGAACCCAGAAATGCTCTGGGGAAGTGGGCTGGTGTCCGTCTGTGCAAGATGTCTAGTTTAGACACTTGGAAACTTTTCCCAGTAACCGTAAAAAATTTCGGGGATAAGGAATTTTTCTGGGTTTGAGAAAGTCGTCTGGTCAGTCGGAAATCTCTCATCCCCGGAAGTGCTCTGCACCAATTGTTCCGGCTATCAGGGATTTCACTATTATACATTTAAAGATTAGTTTATATTGTTTTCTTCATCCTTGATAAGACTAAATATTTTGTGTATAATAGATTATGTTAAGTACAGTAAACCCTTGAAGATCCGGACCCGGCAAATCCGGATTTCGGAAGATTTGGACAAAAAAATTGGGGGTTCTGGGCTAAGAAGCATTGCCAAAACAGGGTGAAGGTAGTTTTAGGCTTAAAGCTTTTATATTATAAAATTACACAGACTAAACTTAGCAAAATATAACTTGCATTGCTGGAATCCTTGTAAGATTGTGAATAATATGAATATAACTAACCCCAGTAGTCAGGATAATATGTACTGTATTTTTGGTGGTTTTTTTTATATTTATCTGTTTTTTACATTTAATACATTCGCCGGAAGATCCGGACAATCGGCTTTTCCGGACAGGTGGTCCTGCCTTTAGTCCGAATCTTCGAGGGTTCACTGTAATGTTGTCTGGTTATGTGATTATTACAGGTACTGTAATGATTTTATAGTTTAATTGTTAATTTTACAGGTAAGTCAGGGATTAGTTCATCTATCATTCAATCTGCTTGAGTCAGGAAGTGGACCAAAAGGAGAGACATATGTCAGTCAGCGAGCCATTGAGTTAGCTTCAACTGTCTTGCCCCTCATTGTCAAGAAACAGCAACACCTGGGACGCTCTGTCATCTCTCAACTCTCAAACTTGATCCTCACAGCATCTTCACCTGTTCAATATATTGGTTAGTTCTGTAGTCATTTGTGGTTGTTGTTAGATATTTACCTCCAATGAGTGAAATAGTACCTGCATTCTTTCTATTATTAAGTAGTGAATAGAGCTTTTAAACGAGTTCAGTTTACATCATGATATACTAAGAAGCATGACTTACTTTATATGTAGACTTCCACTTCTATATCTCACATATCTTATACTTTACATCTTTATAATCTTAGTTTATACAATGTATTTCACATAGCTACTGTGAAGAGACAATTATGATACAATTCAAGACACATTTAGAAAATCATCTTTAGAAAAAAGTTATCAAAATGACAGTTGTATTTACAGTATGGTCTCATTTTACGCGGGTCAAGCGTGCTCAGTTATGGCTTACATGATTGGTCGAAATGTGATCATAGTTATAGCTTACACAGAAAGCCGTGGGTAGCGGTATAGCATTAATTTATTTAATTTTTGCTTATTTAGATTAAGGAAACTGCCTGAGGTGAGATGGTTGAAAAATATTTGAAATACAGGAAAGCCTCCGATAACGATGGTTCTACTAACGACGATTCATATTTAAGACCCTGGTTAATTTAGGACCCAATTCAATTTACATTTTCATATAAATAATAACTAAATCCTGATATGTATTTGTTACGGAAACTGAACAATCAAGAAGGCAGATGTCTTAAGTTACTTTGCTTCAACTTTTGCTTTTATTTTAATCTCAAAATTTAAATGATTTCTTAACCTGTGTGTCTAGGGGCTATTTGGTTGAAATGATTTAGTTATAATACATTGTAAAACTCATGTCCAGTTGCATAACAAGTGACAATCTGTTTATATTGTAAACTTTTTTGTTATTTTTTCCTGTAGGTTTAGTTATTACAGCATTACTTGGCTTAATTGAATAGTTGATACCACACTCATGGTCGACATGACATTACCCAACACAGTATAAATATTAGGATTTGAAGAATATGCAAGTGAATTTTAAATACTATACTTAACCTAAATAAACATAAAAACTTATATACAAGGGTGAAACATAATGTACTCAGCTGTACTAATACACGTTACAACTAGATGGCCAGTAGATTCCGCTGTGCACAGGCAGTGCAGGTAACAGTGGCTCACTCCACAACAGAGCAACAGGAGAGGAACAGGAACCGATGGTGATGAGAAGCGAACTACCCGGTGTCTTGTTGCTCAGAAGAGACATCACCTCTCATAGATGGCACCCCCAAAAGCCAACAAGGTTTTCCACCAATCAGGAGCTAACGCCTGTCTCGTGTTTTTACTAGTTTGCCTGCTGGTAACTAGTGGTTTGGTGGTTGTGGAGTCAGCCATGCAGGTAGAGGTGACGGTGCAGTATATGTACGGGGAATGTGACCCTTCTATGTTGCATATTATAAAAAAAACAAACAAAAAAAACATGCCTTGCGCACGGAGGCTGCCAGGCTTGTGAAAGGTGACGCCAGCATCACTAGTATAAACAGTTGCAGCTTGGCGGGCCTTTTGTTTTCACTCATGTTAACAGGAAAAGGAGAAAAACATTCTCAGATTTCTTAAAGCATTTTTGCATCCCTATTCAACATGAGCAAGAGGGCAAGTGATGGTAGTGCTGGTTCAAAAGCTAAAAGATAGTTTAAAAGCTTGGCTGAGAAACTAGATGTGTTAAAATGGTATGAAAAGGATGAGAGGTCTCTGGATATTATATGGAGCAAACAATGAAAAAATTTTCTGAAGTGGATCTGTTAAGAGAACAAAGCATTAATATTAACAGGGACATGAAAAACGCATATGACCTCTACATAAAGATGTATCCAGTGGTCCCTCGATTAACGAACGCAATTTGTTCCTCAGAGTCGTTTGTTAACCGAAAATTTCATTAACTGAATCTATTATTTCAATGGGACATTGGGTAATTGGTTCCAACTCACAGAAAAAGTATACATACAAAGTACTGTACACCGGTAATAGAATTAACAAAACGTTAATTATAAACTAAATATAGTACTGTACTGTAGAGTACTGTGTACTGTATAATAATAAATACAAAAAACAATAGAATACTTTATTTTAACTTACTTTGAGTTGTGTTCAGTAATACCCAGATTTACGCGGTTTCGCTTTACGCGATTCTACATTTACGCGGTACCTAGCCAGAACCGGAATTTCATTTTACGCGGTGCATCTACTCATATACGCGGGTGAAGTATAATTTTTTTATTTAGCTCATGAAATTTATACAAATTACCCGGCCAGAATATAATTTACATTGCTGGAATTCTTACAATATGATGATCATTTTGAATATAAACATCATGGATTTTGCATTAGACATACAAATTTTAGATCTAATGTAATAATTTGGTTTACACAAAGCAAATATCTTATCTTTTGTGCAAAATATATGAAGTTTACATTCAAAATATTCTCTGACCTGCAAGGAATCCAGAAATGTCAATTATATTATCCTAACTTTAGTCTGAGGTATTATTTATTACTATACCTTAAAATCTAGTGTTTCACCCAAACATTTCTCAGAGAGATAGGAGCCAGCGAGCTGGGAAGAGGGGAGGGGGGGAGTTGAGTCCATTATTTGAATGGACATTAACCTGGTGATTGTATTTCTCTTAAATATTAATTGTGTGAGCATACCATCATAAAATTAAGATGTTATTTTTACTACAACATAGGTATTGTGTCGGAAAAAGTGGAGCTTGGGGGTCGGGCCAGTCTCTATTGGAATTAATCCCATATGTTCTGTTGTTCACTTTACGCGGTTTTCACTTTCCACGGTACCCTGTGGGTTCAATTGACCGCTTAAATCGGGGTACTACTGTATGACGTATTACCGGCAGCTTTGTTTACATATCAAACAGCTGATTGTAGAGGCAGTTGATGATGACATGTCATATTCCTTAGAGTAGGGTTGCCATACGTCCGTATTTTCCCGGACATGTCCTCCATTTAGGTCTCGAAATCTTCATCCGGAAGTAATTTTTAAAATTCTTTAAAAGTCCGGAATTTCAGCTTCCATCATTTTCTCCACAGAAAAAAAAAACATGAAACTGTAATGACGAGAGAGAGAGAGAGAGAGAGAGAGGCTGTGAGAGAGGGAAGGTGGAAACCGTAGAGATCTCGTTCAGTTTTCGTCAGCTGATAAGTCACGTGTACGCCTGTACGGTGTTGTCAGCTAAGCTGCTAGCAATTTTTGGGTAGCATGTAGTGCCATGTACTGCTTTTCCTTGTTCTTCAGCCACGCGCATTATTAAATTTGTTTTTGTATTTAGCGCTATTAGCCATAAATGAAATGCTGAAAGTATACCATATTTTTCTTATGACTTTTTTTACACTGTAGCATTTGTTTTTCTTGTCCTGCATTTAAGGCATTTTAGCAATTTTCAACCATAATCTTGATGTGCATGGACACATCAGGTCACACACACAGTGGGGGAAGAAGACTGCAGCTAAGGGAATGAAGATATTCAGCCTTAAGCAAAGGTAATTTTTTTAATATTTTTAAGATTTCTTTACCATGAATGTCGTATATTAGCCTACATTAAAAACACAATGCAATACAGTACACCGATACTGGTGTGTATATATATATATATATATATATATATATATATATATATATATATATATATATATATATATATATATATATATATATATATATATATATATATATATATATATATATATATACATATACACACACAGTTGTACCCCACTTAACGCGGTCAATAGAACCCAGAGGGTCCCGCGTTAAGTGAAATCCGCGTTAAGTGAACAACAGAACATATGGGATTAATTCCAATAGAAACCAGCCCGACCCCCAAACTCCACTTTTTGAAGACACATAACTATGTTGTAGAAAAATAACATCTTAATTTTATGATGGTACATGCACACAATTAATACTTAAGAGAAATAGAGAAATACAGTCGCCAAGTTAATGTCCATTCAAATAATGGACTCAACTCCCTCCCCCTCTTCTCACACTACACTGCTGGCTCTTCCCTCTCTGAGAAATTTTTGGGGGAAAACCACTAAATTTTAATAAATAATACCTCAAACTAAAGTTAGGATAATACAATTGACATTGCTGGATTCCTTGTAAGACCAGGAATATTTTGAATATAAATGTCATATATTTTGCACAAAAGATAACATAGTTACTCAGAAAATTTTTTTATCTAAAATTTGTATGTCTAATGCAAAATATATGATGTTTATATTCAAAATGATCACCAAATTATAAGAATTCCAGCAATGTAAATTATATTCTGGCCGGGTAATTTGTATGAATTTTATGAGCTAAAACAAATATCTTCAGTTAATAAAAAAAAAAATAATCTTCACGACACTATCTGTCAATCAAAGTACCCCACCTTGCCTCCCCCCCTCTCCCAACTGCGCGGTCAGTCCCAACCCTCCCCCCAACCCCCCACCAATCATCCCTTCAAGAGAAGAGTGGGTGAAAAATTTAGATTTTAACATTTTGTATTAAATAATACCTCAGATTAAAGTTAGGATAATATAATTGACATTGCTGGATTCCTTGTAAGACCAGGAATATTTTGAATATAAACGTCATATATTTTGCACGAAAGATAACATACTTACTCAGATTAAACATTTTATCTAAAAATTTTATGTCTAATGCAAAATATATGATGTTTATATTCAAAATGATCATCAAATTATAAGAATTCCAGCAATGTAAATTATATTCTGACCGGGTAATTTGTATGAATTTTATGAGCTAAAACAAATATCTTCAGTTAATAAAAAAAAAAAAAAAAATTCTTCACGGGGTAACAGATGGTCGGTCGGTCCCTCCCTCCCCCCCACCACCCCCACCAACCGTCCCAAGGAGATGTGTGGGAAAACCAGAATACTTAACTTTTTTGTAATAAATAATACCTCAAACTAAAGTTAGGATAATATAATTGACATTGCTGGATTCCTTGTAAGACCAGGAATATTTTGAATATAAATGTCATATATTTTGCACAAAAGATAACATAGTTACCCAGAGAAAAAATTTTATCTAAAATTTGTATGTCTAATGCAAAATATATGATGTTTATATTCAAAATGATCACCAAATTATAAGAATTCCAGCAATGTAAATTATATTCTGGCCGGGTAATTTGTATGAATTTTATGAGCTAAAACAGGCAGTCAGGCAGGGTGGAGGGTGGGGCAAATCTAAAAATAGCGTCTCGAGCCGGACACTCACCGCGTATATGATGAAAAAATCCGTGTTAAGTGAAAGTTCAGCTCTGGCGAGGCACCGCGTATATGATAAAACGCGTTAAGTGAAACCGCGTTAGGCGGGGTAATACTGTGTGTATATATATATATATATATATATATATATATATATATATATATATATATATATATATATATATATATATATATATATATATATATATATATATATATATATATATATATATATATATATATATATATATATATATATATATATATATATATATATATAAATAAAATTAATTATCACGGCTGCTTCAAGGTTACATAAGCGCCAAAGTGTGTGCCGGGGTCTTCTGGAGCGTCCTCTTTTTTGAATGTTCAGATATGGCAACCCTACCTTAGAGAGTGCATTGGTTCTAATGCCTTCTTCAATATTTCATAATGATTTCTGCACTGTATATTATCAATATGTGAACTAAATTTCAGAATGACCAATAATTTTAATGTAAAAATTCAAAAATATTCAAAGACCAACAAAATCAATGTTCACTACACTGTAAACAGCTGAGAAGCATTGGTGGGTGGTTCGATCAGCTGATGGGCTAACAAAAACTGTTCCCTGTACTGTCTATATTATATCAATATGTTAACTATATCTTAGAATGATCAATAATTTTAATATAAAAATTGCAAAAATATTCAAGAGCACAACTTTCCTGATATTTACTCCAGTGGAAACGAATGTAAACATAGAACCAATTATTGTATTGGTGGATTAGCCGATCAGCTGATGCGCACAACAAAGTGTGTTTCTTGTAAAGCTGTCGTTAATCGAAGTTTTGCTCGTTAATGGAAGTGAAAATCCTTATGGGAGCTAATTCGTTAACCGAAATTTTGTTAATTGGACCGTTCGTTAATTGAGGGGCCACTGTAATGAGAAAAGAAAGCGGCTGTGAACGGTTCTTTAGACAGCTTTATTATTCAAAGGCCTAAACCATCAACTTCAGCTCCACCAAAAAATTCAGCATCATAAGCAGCTTCAGCAACAATTTCAAATTCAGTAGCAGTTTCAGCAACAGCTATGACTTTTTTATGGAAATCTACAGGTTCAGCCAGAGTTGAACCTGATGACTTAGTCATCTGAGTAAAAACTTATACAATATACATGTTTTAGACTTTACCACCATTGGTGAGTAGAATTTTTGTTTTACATTAGTAAATATTATATAAAACATATATGAACAGTAATAAGTGTTGCTTTCTTATTCATATGTAGAGAATTGATGATGTTTCACCTGAACGCACGTTGTAGGAATCATGGGTATCTAAAGAGAAGCGACGTTATAACGAAACAAACATTGTCGGGGGCAACGTTAAACGAGGACTTACTGTACTGTACTGTACTCATCAGCAGATGCTGTCATCTTGAACCTAGAGTAGGCAGACACTTCACTCAACTGATTGTATTACGTAATAGTAATCACGTTTTAACACCTGCAACGGAGGTTAGGTGGAGATTAGTGGGTCATGCTACTGACCTGACCTGATGCAATTTCAGCTCATCCATTGTCGGGGTGGGGGATTAGTACATCTTATGGCCTAAAGATGTCTTGAATAAAGACAAAATAAAAATTTGGAGAGGTTTTCCTGAATTTCAACTAAGGAATTTGTTCCCAAACCCAGAATTAAGAATTTTTCTGGAAAATTTCTGAAGAAATGTCAATTCCAGCTATTGGAGAGTTCCGGCTAAGAGGGATTCCGGCCAATGGAGATAGAATAGCAGTGTAACAGCACCTTTTGCATTATATAAATATTTGCCCAAATGTATAACAACAAATTATTCACTAAGTTATTCAACACTGCCTCAGTTGTTCAAGTTATACACGGCTGAGCTTGTAACTCTCTCAGAAGTCAAGCGAGGTCACCTGACTAATCAAAACACCGCTTGACGGCTCCCCCTCTCTCACGCTCGGAGGAGACAGCCAGATTCATACGACTAGTTAAGGGGTGAACACCTAACCCAAGTGTTCACATATATAAGTGTACTCAAAACACTTCCCTGAAGAGAATTCACAATACATACTCACCCAAACTAAATACTGTGTATATAATTGCTTCAACAATAAAGAAAAGCCCAGAGGAAGTGTTTACATCAGCCCTGCCACTTAAGAGTTCCAGAACTTATTTAAAACAATTGTGTGTGATACCCAAATCACTATCACTGCAGTGACAATGCAGGAAAAGCATTTGGGTAGACCAATCATTGTAAATCTAATCTTTAGTCATCACACAGCAGTATTTGGTGTTAATTTCTTAACATCATAAAACTGATTGATTATATTTCAATCAATCGTTTAACAGTCTGCATCTGTATTACCTACTGTATGTTACTCTACTTTGATGGCTGGACATGCCATTTAATGAAATTATAAATTTTGTGGTTCATGTCTGCATCCTTTCCAAATCATATACTGTATAGTAATAGGATTTCACAAGATCATTTCTTTATTTTTATTAAACCATGTATGTACTTTTATTTTTTTTTCAGAAATCCTGGGAAAGCTGGCTAAAATGTTACCTTTAGTGCTCCTGGACCATCTTAATGTGATTCGGGAGCCATTAGAGTTCTCGGAATCTTTATCACTTCGAGCTGCGACTCACTTTTTGAGCGCTATCCTGCCACTTCTCAAGATGAGCATGAGTCTTAAGGATGCCCTCATGATCACACTGAGAAAGATGCTCTTTTCCAAGTAAGATTTGAACTTAAGTGATTTTCAGTACAGTATTCACTTCTTGACTAGAAAATGTTGACTTTGCATGCAAAACTTATGCCTATCAAATTTTTAAAGTCTTGTTAAAAACACATGATTTGATTTCATATTACATATATGTGTTATCACTATTGTGTATGAATGCTGGGTGCTGATTTCACAGCTCAGAAAATCAGGTAAACCTTGATATACAATATCCTGTTCGGCGATATTTCGCTTTAACGATGGTCATGGATTAAGTCCATCTCGGTATATATGATAAAAAATATTGTTTTAACGATATCCAATGGCTGGATTTTATTTATTTATTTTTTTCTCCAGCAATGGAAATAATATTTAACCAGAAGTATCACACATCTCTACTTGTCAGCCTACCCACGCACCGCCACACGGCCCACCCACCCTCTACAGCCCTGTATTTGGTTCTTTGTCGATCATAAACTCGCCATCGCATTGCTTCATGATTATCGGCCAGCATCGTACATTGTACATTGTCGGTGTTTTTGTTTTTGTTTTTCTTCTATAGTGAGAGGACAGCACTAAAATTTTAATTGAACTGTGTTAGGTGACTGTGAAGTGATATTTTCTGTGTTTATGTACCACTGTTGTTTTGAAAATGTGAGCAGTGTCGGCTGCTATCATTGTTTTTGTTATTATTGTTCGCTCTGTTTTTGTGACTGAAGTGAGCATTGTAACTTTGAAAATATCTGGGAAAGCCAAGACATCCAAGACAACTGTGTCTCTGAGGTGAAGCTTGACATTGTTAAGCAGCATAAGATTACCCAAAGGCTGTATTGGAGTCAGAGTAACGTCTCCACTCCACCTACAAGAGACCTCTTAGCCTTGAAGGGAACATGTGATGATGACCAGGCTTGTTCTCAGGATGTGGTGAGTGTTGTTTAATTATTTTGTACTGAAAGTAGGAATTTTTTGTTGGTGATACCTGTGTGTTTGGGGACTGGCTGGGAATGTATCCCATTGAACCCCATCTTGTAATGAGCCTGATCTATAGTAATTCACTTAGCGATGGGGTTTTCAAGAACCTAACCCCATCGTTTATTGAGGTTTACCCGTATGTGGGCAAGGGAGTAGGTAATCTTCCTGGGGCTTGATGTATTCCCCTCTCCAGGTCTGGGGACAATGGCCTGGAAATCCCACTTTGTAGTCAGTTACCAAAGGGTTATGACATGACAAGTGGAGGATCTAATTTCACACACTTCTTTTCTGATAATAATTAAATTCAATTTAAAGGTTCCTTACAGGTCTTTGAGGCTCAGTACAAAAAATATCTCTTAATTATGCAGATCGTAAATAAATTGAAATTCACTTCTTAAAGGAAATACTGTACTGGGTTAGGTCCATGAAGTGCCAAAATGTATACACTTTCTCCTCCCCAGTGCTAGTATGTTTTTCATAAAATTAAATGCTTTCTATGTTACAAAAATTTTCTAAACTAGTATAACTAAACCTCATTATTATACACTAAATTACCATATATCTCGGCCTACAAGGCGATGGGGTGTATAAGACGACCCCAAAAATGTCCATTTAAAAAGTAGCTTTTGAGCCCTATTTGCTGTATAAGACCGGTACCCCAAATGTGACACTTATCTTTGGGAGCTTACTGACCCAGTAGTCCTTTACCAACCATCCCGTTGACCAGTGCTGTTTACACATCCTTGGTTTTTTAAAATAAGGCCAATTCCTTTAAGTAATGGCATCAAATGTTACCGGTTGGTGTAGTGTAAACACTAGTGACTCACTTAAACGTCTGTTATTTAACTGGAACTAATGTCGGTGTCGAATACAATTGTTTCATTTACTTGAAATGGATTTACCGATTTATTTGCTTATTTATTTATTTATAACATGCTGTAATATATTAAACACACCAAGTATTTTCTTTAATTTAAAAGCTTGCTTCACGAGAGACAATCTGTGGTGGGACTGTTCCCACTGTTTACATCAGCTACAGTACTGTATTCTAATTCAATAGTGTTTCATTAGGATTTGAGTGAAAAAGATTACTGTACATACTGACTACATACATACATACATACATATATATATATATATATATATATATATATATATATATATATATATATATATATATATATATATATATATATATATATATATATATATATATATATATATATATATATATATATATATATATATATATATATATTCACAATATTTTATAATTGCAGTCATGTACTGAATATTCTATGTAAAAAATATAAATTTTAAATGAATTATTTCTAGTGTGGTCGACTTCCTACACAAAGACAGGCTATAAATAGCCGTCTTATCTCCCCTCTGTTCTGAGAGAGAAGGTCTTGGTAAATAACTTTTGTTTGTTTATTTTCATTGTTTGTCTAATTTATCATGTTGTATCAAAGTAATATTACTAAAAGTTTTAGGCAGCTACCAAACAGGGAGATACTACCGCCTGGGAAGATATTGGAAGCATAATGTACAGTATTGTCTAATGGTAGATCCTACTTCCATATGGCATCACGAAAATTGTGACCAAGTCTTATGTTGCTGATCTATCTTTCTGCCTCATTTACACACAATTGCAGAGTTTCAATTGTTTCTCTTCCTTTGACAACACAACATACATACAATATAATGTTTCTCACCTTTGATCTTTTTTCCTTTTTGCATTTATTTATGGTTGGTTATTTAAAATAAGGCCAATTCACTTAAAGTATTGGCATCAAATTTTACTGGCTGGTGTACACTAGTGACTCACTTAAGCGTCAGTTATTTAACTGGAACTAATGTCAGTGTGAGTAAAATATTTCCATTTACTTGAAATAGATTTGCTGATTTATTTGTTTGTTTATTTATTTATAATATACTGTAATATATTAAACACACTGCAAGTATTTTCTTTAATTTATATACTTGTTTTGCAAAAAAGGGAGGCTACCATTAAACCTGGTAGGTGAAGTTGACCAGACATTTATGGTGATCATTAAGGACCAAACTCCGAATCCATGACGTGACTTCTGTTCATCATTTATATCCTAAATTTATAACTGGGGAAAGAATTTGAACTGAGTAATGCTATTGTTGTGTTGGGCCAGCTATCAGCTGGTGAGCTGTCCAGCAGCCATATTGTAGCTACCACCAGAATCCATTAGAAATAATTTGTTTAATTTTTCAGTGAAATTTTTTGTTTGATATCGCAAATTCTTCTTTAGAAAATCATATAAATTAACCATAATTCTGTAAGGGCGAATACCGGCTAGAACACACACTTATTTGAACATAAACTAGGGAAAGAATTCTAACTGAACAGTGCCATTGTTGTGGTGGTTGCTGGCAACTGAGAAGGTGAGTGGCCTTCCAACTACCTTGTGGCTATCACAGAGAATCTACAAAATAATTTGTTTTACAATTTTGGGTGAAAATTGTGCTTAAAATTTCTATTATTTTTATTTTACTTAAAAATTTACCAAAATTATGTAAGGGCAAATGTTTTTCCCATACAGTATACTGTACTGAATTTATGGTCATGGTAATTTAAAAATTCCTTAAGGGCGAATTTCCGTAGCCTGAATTTCCTTAACATGGGGGATGCCTGTACATGTGTCAGCTTTTGAAGGGAGGACAGTTTCAGTGGTGGTCTTGATCCCACCCAACTTTGAAATGGGACTTTACAAGTTTAGGTCTTTCTTATTATCTAGTTATACAAAGTTTGACAATCTAAATATCATAAATTAGTTACACAATTACCACTAATGCAGTATGTGTTAATTATGAAATTAGTGATATAAAGAACAAAAATAGTCACCACCTTTAATTCTTTCAGGAAAGTTGAGAGTCGCCAGATTGCAGTAAGAGGATTCCTGCAATTTCTTAGACACTTCAGAGTGATGGGTGCACTTCCATCATCCCAAGCCTCAATGTCCTTCTCCTCGTCAATGAGCACAGTCAGCGTAAATGCTGATGTTCACTCTGTTTTCAATAATTCAACAAATGAAGCCCTGTGCTTTGAGCTGCTTGGAATATTGAGGCGATGCTTCTCACAGCAGCATGAGGTAAACTCTCCTGGACTTTTCACTTTGTCAGTACAGTGGTCCCTTGTTTTTCGTGGGGTTTATGTTACTGTGAAAAAGCAAAACTGCAAATCCTCTTTTCCTGAATTTTAGTTGCCGTGTTATATTCAATGTTATAACCTATAAGCTATCCCCGATCACTTGTATGGTCCTAAAAGTGTGGGTTGTTGTTGTTGTTTTATAATATATTTATTTAACCAAACTTTTATATAATGTATTTTGGAATATTTGGGTAAAAAATGGTGTGCCTAACTTAATTACAACAACTACGTGAGGCAGCACTTGAGTGTCAGGACGTGTAGTTGTGTTCGTATTTCATGTTAATTTCATCTGTTTGTATATTGTTCCATGATATAAATAGTCCTACTAATTAAATTAACATTTTCTCATGTGATCAACAGTCATACATGAATATTCACTTTGCCAGATATATTGTAGTGTTATAAACAAACACACACTTGAGCACCCTCTCTGTCTAACAGGTGATGAAGGCGACCCTTAAAGGGAAAAACTGACGACGCAGCTACTTTACCCCCATGCGGTTACTTTACCCCAAAACCCCCCCAAGCAGTCACTTTACCCCTAACACCCCCCAAAAAGGTCGACTCCCATTCACCCACCGCGCCTCACTTCCTTCTCACTGACAACTCGGTAAATTCACATTGGTAACCTTGGGCGGCAATGTGATCAGCAAAGGCTGACTTACCATTTATGTGGATGTTATGCAGGGAATACCTGTTGTGATGAAAATATATTTCTATTGAAAATTCGTGAATTGTCGAAACAGCAAATAAAAAATCCAAGATAAATGAGGATGCACTGTATCTGGATGATACAATTGATTTATTTGGGATAGATTACAACCTTTTGTTTAAATTGTAGATTGATAAATAAAAAATAAATTAAAAGAGAAGAATACCATTACAGTATAGAAAAGTTCTCATATAAAGTATACAGTGGTCCCTCGCTTAACGAACACATTTCGTTCCAGAGGGTCGTTCGTTAATCGAAAATTTTGTTAACCGAATCCATTGTTTCAGTAGGATATTGGGTAATTAGTTCCAGCTCACCGAAAAGTACATACAAAGTAAAAAAAAAAAATTCAGTAAAGTACACTTGTTTTGAGGTGTGTATGTAGAAGGTTCCTGGTTGATGATGATGATGATGATGATGATGATGGGAATTAGAAGGGGGGTGGAGGAGAAGGGAGATGAGAAGGAAGTGGGGATGGAGGAGAAATCACCTTTCAGGGGACCCATGCTTGATGCCGTCATTTCACCAATAAAATTTTAAGTTCACTAGGTGTAATTCAAGATTATTTTATTTAAATCAACACTGCACTGCACTATATATTATCAATATGTTAACTAAATTTCAGAATGACCAATAATTTCAATGTAAAAATGCAAAAATATCAAGACACCAACAAAATAGATGTTCACTCCACTGTCAACAAAGCCAACTGACGCCTGTTGGCTGAGTCAAGCGCTGATGGGCGCACAAAAAACTAGTTCCCTGTACAGTACTCTTTCGACGTTTTTGGGGTTATTTGATTATTGATTTTATTTTGCACCAAACAGCTTCCAGTCCTCTGAACGGCTAGAGTCGTGTTTTAATGTTGTAAAAACTATACATCCTTTTTACCTAACTGCCTGAATGAATATATTTAGATAAATAGTGTTTTGAACGGTTTTCAATGTAAATAGATAAAATCAAAACAAAGACTTTACCTGCTTCCATGTTCTTGAGATGTTATCGTTTTTATAGTTGGTAAATTTGTTATATTACAATGATATTCTATTCATACTGTGCTGATATAATACATTCAGAATATATTTTTCTAAATGCGGATCAGTGGAAAGTGGATCTGTGAAAACAATGACTTGCTTTTGTCAAAGTACTAATCACTTTAATGGTTTAGTTAAAACTGTTGTATTGTATTACAATAATATCCTAATTGACTTGAATAAATATTCGATACCATATTTCTGAATATTTTCATTAAATCCATCAAAATCATTTTCCTTGTCAGCTGCAGCCAAACAGCTCTCCAGTCCTCCTGACAGGGCTAGAGGCTACGTGTTTTCAATCGTTTTAGTTAAAAATTATTAATCACGATATTTTACTAAACTGCCTGAATGATATATTCTGAAATAAATAGTAGTTTGCTGAACGGGTATTCAATGAAATAGATAAAATACATGTGAAAACAAAAGACTTTACCTATGCTTCGATGTTCTTGAGATGTTACCGTTTTTAATAGTTTTCGTTAAAATTCTGTTATTACAATGATATTCTATTCATACTGTGCGATATAATACATTCAATGTATTTTTGTTGAAATGCGATAAGTGGAAAGTGGATAAAACGTGTAAAACAATACTCTTTTGTTCAAAGATGTTACGTAATCACTTTTGAATGGTTTGTTAAAAACTGTTGTATTACAATAATATTCCCCTAATTGACTTGAATAAATACTTGAATGAAATATAATATTTTGTTGAAACTACCCGTTTCAGTGTAAAGTGTTGTAATAAATGGTAAACAATTTGCCTTGGGCATCGTTTTGACTTTACTGTACTGTACCTGTTTTGTTTACTGTAAGGACCGATGTTCACTTCAATAAATGAAATGTTTGCTAGTATTTTGTCCACTTATTATATTATTATTTATACACTATTATTTGGTTATCTAAAACATTAATGCTTAAAGGTACATTTATTCAACATATGCTATATAGTTAGAAAAATTACGAACCATCACGGTTCGCGGTTTTTTATCGACGCGTTTACAAACGTAACCGCGATAAAGAGATACTGCATATATTATCAGTATGTTAAATAAATGTTAAAATGACTAATAATTTTAATATAAAAATGCAAAAATATTAAAGAGCACAACTTTCTTGATATTTACTCCACTGGAAATGAATGTAAACATAGAACAGATTAGTGAATTGGCAGACTAGCCCATCAGCTGATACTCACAACAAAACGTGTTGTTCGTAAGGATTTTGTTAATCGAAGTTTTGTTTGTTAACCAAATTGAAGATCCTTATGGGAGGTAATTCATTAACCGAAATTTCGTTAACCGAACCGTTTGTTAACCGAGGGACCACTGAAGTTATAATGGAAATTGAATGACAGACTGAAGTATTTCAGTTGAAAAAAATAAGTTTTACAGATAGTGAAACAGGATATTGTATATATGCCCCCTGTAGTGTGAATTAGAATGGAGAAATGTAATGAAAGACTCATTTGAAGAACTTTTTACAGATGCTTTCCACTTAACTTAGTTTATGTGTTCTAAAAAAGTACTACATTAAATAACACATACATTCCAAGCAAGTTTTTAACCAAACTCAATCATTAGTAAATAAAGAGTTCATGGGAGTGAGAGTTTACCGGGCTAAAGTCTCGTGTCATGTTTACACACCTGCTGCACCAATCTTTTAAAAGAAATAAAAGAAATAAATCGTGTTCTCATAAACTTCACTAAACATGGACAACATTATACAAAATTGATAATGAAATTATCAACTGCCTTATAGTAAAACTGGTTTAAGTGAAACTTTGAATGTTAAATGAGGGATATTTGTATTTTCTTACAAAGTATAACTTAAACCCCAGATGTGTGTAATATATTAAATTCATCCATGAATTTATGATGGTTTTGCTTCAATGTATGTGTGATAATAATGGTTGTTTCTGTTTACAGGTAAAATCAATCTTCTACTTAGGGCTTTATGATGTCAGTCAAAACAACCCCAACCTTGTTGTGAACATTATGGAACTTCTACTTCAGCATAGCAAGTGCTTCTTGGACTTACGGCCAGATATATTTAATCCTGTCATCTTGAAGAAGGTTATTGTCATCCTGGGTGAAACAACCATACTTACAGAACCCATGGGAGATCTGCTGTCCAGCCTCGGAGCATGCAAGACATATTATGAGGAACACCATGCAAGTGAGGCCAATGAAGAAGATGATGAGAATGCCATAACAGTTCTTAATGAAATATGTGCTGTATTTGATGTATTGACAGAGAAGCTTTCAGGTTGTGGTTTGGAAGACCTGGGTTTTGATACTAATGGAGACTTTTCAACCACTTCACCGTCAGGTCACAAAAATATCTTTTCTGCAAAAGTGATGATAGGTGTATTTGATAGCTTATTGGAGTACACTTTTACCAGTAAAGCACAAACACCTGAGGAAAGGATGCAAGTAATTGTCTCCCTTTTTAAATCTCAAAGGAAAATTGTTGAACTGTTGAAGGAAAAGTCTAAAAAACCCAAAAAGAAAGGAGGTCGAGTATCTAGACAAACCATAGCCCTAAAAAGTCACTTGAGTTTGCGAGTGACAGCAGACATGCTCGCTGTTTCACTAAGTGATAGTGACACTGATGCTTCTGATAGTGGTTTTATTTTGAAAGGCAACCATGAATTGCAGTTATATCTTTTATCTATTGTGGAAGATGTCTTGTCATCAGTGAAGGGAATGACTCGATCAGAGAAAGAAAAAATTCTGCCCCATTTGAGGACTATTGCAAAGGTTCTCCTTCGTGAATGCACAGACAATTTGGGCTCTGCAGACTCCTCAGATGAGAGAGAGGTAACTAGACTGAGGCAGAGTTTGCATATTATTGCAAATGTTTTAACCATCTTCAACAAATTTTACAAGCATAAAGTAGAAACAATATTGAAGGATTTGATGAATAAAAATGATAATAAAAGCCTTAATGCACTGTTATTTCAAATAACTAAACGGTTTCAGAAGATGCTGCTAAAAATCTTACATCACAAGGAACGAACTCCTTTGTTGAAGGATGCAATTACAATAGTTCACATAGTAACAGCAGTTACACAAGCCATGGAACCACAGTGCTCTGAAGTTAAAGATGTTCAAGATTGGGTACATCAGTTATGTAAAGACCAAGATTTTGGTCATTGTGGATTGACTGAAGCTATGATGAATCTTCTTATGAAATTGTCCAATCAGATCAAAGGTAATCATAACCTTACTCGAGGAATAGCTAAAGAGTTATATCACAGGCTTGGAAAACTTGGAGTAAATGTTAGCATTGATGAACCTGTTAAATATATGATGGTCACTGGTGACACATCATCAGTCATTTTATCATGTCTCCTTGTACACCTGGATGACACACTGGGCCTCATAGAATTGGCTTTAAACAAAATGAAAGCTTGTGTTGTATCAGGCACACAATATAATGCTGAGAAAGTTGAAAATTGTATCAGTCTGAAGTGCAATATTTTGATCCAAGCTCTACATGAAGTAGTCCAGTCAGCCATTCCTCTGGGTGTAAGTACAGATCACACTCTGAAAGTAGTGACAAAGATGTACAATGTTTTAGCACTCTATGCAAAGTTTTATATTGATCTTTATCGAATTAAGAATTATGCCCAAATCTCAGATAAATTTGAAACAATTGTTCACAAATCTGGAGAACTGATTACCAAGCCTATATATCCCTTGATAACTTACATTGAAGGGACACATAGAGAAGCAGGGAGTAAAATTCAAAGATCAATTACTGCTAGAGCAATGAAAGAGACTAAACTTATACCATCTCTAATTTTTGCAATTGAACAATATGAGAAACACCTTATCACACTCACCCACAAATCTAAGGTAAACCTTATGCAGAAAATGGGAGTGAGTACATGTCGGGATTTCAAGATTATGCCAGCTACTCTCAAGGAAGTTTTACAGAAAGAGAATGAAGAGGAGCAGGAGAATGTATTGAATAGTACTGATGAAGAGGCAGGGTCTGATGACCAAGAGGAGGAGGAAGCCACACACAGGAAAGTTGAGTCCTCTCTATTTAATCGGAACAAAAGAGAAATTAAGAGAAAATCTTGTACAGAGATGAATGAAGATGATGAAAATGATCCCAACTCTCAGAATAGGACTAGTGGGCCCCCTAGCAAGCATAGAAAAATATCTTTGGGCAAAAAGGGAAAAAAATATAAATAATTTGTTGATACTTTCTAGACTATTAAACTGGAAGCTGCCATCTAACAAAATAGTATTAACTACATTTGTGTGTATTATTCACATAGAAATTTTTACTCTACAATCTAAAGGTACACTCATTTGTTTGGAAACATGCGTAGCAGTTTATAAAGTACAGATACATAGCTAAGTGCAATACAGCAAACCCTCAATTTACACAAGCTCCTTGTATGTGGATTCTGTCAGACCAAAAATTATGAAATCTGACTTTTACAGCCTCGCTACATTACTCGGCTTATAAGACAACATAAAGCTATACATTGTGTGACCATGTATTAGCCCCAAGGCAGGCTTCCTGCATGTAACTGTGTGGGTGGCCAGCCAGAGGATGCTGGGAGCCCATGAAAGAAAATCTGAAATTGAAAATAAATGCCAACATTTTTAATGTACACAGTGTGGGAATTACAGTGCCCACTGTAAAAAGTAGATGCCTCTTTAATCATCGATAAAGGGTTAAGTAATGTTAGTTCTATAAAGGATTAGTAAACTATTTACATTCAGTGCATCACATGTGTCCCATATCTATGCTGTACTGTACAATGATTTCCATACTTAGAAGGAAGTTACATCATGAAATAGCTGTTGTAAGGTATAAATCACATGTACTAAGCAAGGTTATATTACAAGTCCCTTAATAATGGAAACAAATATGACTAATCAGCTGGACCTTAACTTACGGGTAGGGTACGATTCAGCGCCGATGTTTCAGCACCGCCGTTTCAGCGCTAGCCCATTTCACCACCAGACTATTCAGTGCCACCAAATCAATAATTTATTCAAAGAATCATACATATTTATGAGATTGGTTTATTAAATTAAAAATTATTAAGAAAACATATTTAAAATCGTTTAAAAGAAAGGGTTAGCTTTATTTTTAGTGTGATAAATTGTACGCAGGTATTCTACTTCCTTTCTGTTCCCATATGTAGAAACAATTTTTAATATTCTTTCATCTGCTTTTCTGTATTTCAGTAATTTGGGTTGAGGTTCATGCCCAGCTGAAAGCTTCTTGAAATATTCATCCCGTCCTTTTTGGACTCGTTTAAGAGCATAGATGAAGTTTCATATAGTTGGATGCAACATTCCCAGTTCGCCTCGTAGTCGTCTGTTTGCAGCTTCAGCATGGTTATTGGTTCTATCTTCTCCTTGTAAAGTTCGTTGGTACATGTTCCACATCTCTGGGAAACAATGGTTGTCTTCTCCCAGTTCCTCTCCGGTATGGACGACCAATATAATTGTCTTCAAACCAATTTAAAAGCGGAACCAATTCCCCAGACAAGTCCATTGCAAGAGCATCCACGTGGCGGTCAACGTCATCATTTGGTACAAAAGAAAGTGCCGTTACCATTTTAGCACGTAAAGCAAAGTCGGGATTGCTATTATATGAACCCATGAGACCCATACTTTTTATCTGTTTTAGTAAATTTTGCAATAAATGGAACAGACAGCCTCTGATTTCTACATTGGGAAAGCAGTTGTCATGGTTTTGGTTAGGCCGGTGGTATATGAGTGGATTATATTATATAAAGATAATAATATGTCGTATTACTTATTTCTTACCGTAGAGTTCGATATCTTCACACTGGTTACTTACAGGAGATTATGGCGTATCTACGCAGAAGTTCACTCGACATTCCATGATTTATACTTAGTAAATGATGATTTAATGAATTCCATTAATTTCCAACATCCATCTAAGTTATTGGTTATACTTTGTCATAACCAATCAGTCATTACCTTTAGTAATAATAAGACAGGATCACAGATACGGGCAGATAATTGCACTTACATTTATTTGTCAAGCTTCCATACAATGATTTACAATTTGCATGGATATGTGAGTCACTCACGTTCACGCTGTAATAAAATTCTTCTTCTAAAAGAGGGAATTATCAACTTGGGAACACGTGTGATTACTCTACTGTAGGCATGACCTAACAGAGCCTTAATTCTTCAAGGGATACATTTACTGCCAGCCTGGATTGCTTTTGTTACAACCAGGCTTCATCACAAGATCTTCTTTCCACGGCCATAACAACAAAAAGTACTCTTGGGTTACCACACATAGTCTCGCGTCACTGACAGTCACTGTAGACGGTTGTCGCGGCAAGGAGAACTGGTAAGCGTGACTTGAATTAACCATTTAGGTGCATTAGACCAGCCTGGATTGCTTTTGTCGCAACCAGGCTTCCACACGTGATATTTCCACGGGGATAACAAACCTAGGTTAACACACTTAGTCTCGTGTCGATCACGGTCACGGTAGACGGGTGTCGTGCAGGAGAACTCTGTAAGCGTGAATTAATTAACCGTTTACTGTAGGTTTGATAGGCCAGCCTGGATTGCTCTTGTCGCAACCAGGCATCCACACGTGATATTTCCACGGGGATAACAACCTAGGTTTACACGCTTAGTCTCGTGTCGACGACAGTTCACAGGACGGAGTGGCGGTGGAGGACTCTGTGTGGTGTGGTGCCCCGCTCCCTTTCAGGAGGGAGAGGATGGAGACGACGTCTTAACTATGCCATGGTCCAGGGGATACTACTTAAAATGAGGTTTTTGGGTGTGAAGCGATGAACAGTACAACACTGTTTCACTGCCCACCCCCCTCCTAAAGGCTGGCTAACATACACTAATGGAAAATACATGTCCCAGTTATGCCTCGCCGGGTGTCTTATCTCTATTAAAACAAACTTTGGAGCTGGTTGCGTGGGTAAGTCTAAAGCAACCCATGACAGCAGTCTTTCATGGTTGCAAAAGCTGCATACTCAAAATCACAGTTTATGGCATCGGGTCGTGCATGTAGTACCATCTCCTTAATCATTTCAATCATTCTCATATAAGTTACACTCTGCTTATTCTGTAAAAATGCATATAATACAGGGTGCATGCCTGCATGTTTCTTGACCATGATGAAATACACTTGATAAAATAAATGTGGTGCAATCGCAAATGTTCCATCGACGTACCAAATTCTTGAAGTTGCTATATGTTCCAACCAGCTCTCTCTTCCAAAAATAATAATTCTATCGTAGCTCGTTCCTCTATCCATCAAACAAAAATTTTCCTCTGTTTCTGGTGTGGGCTCATGCATGGATCTTGATTTTTCAGGAACTTGGTTGACTTCATCCCATTTTCGCCGAATGATTTTACGCATTGCTTGCCTATTTGGTAATTGCAATGCCAGCTTGAGACATTTCCTATGCACTTGCTAATAATAATGCTTGAAGGTTCACACGTCTTCTCAGCCCAATGTCTTGCATCTGTTTTTGCCTTTTCTACCTCGACTTCAACTGCAGATTAGGGATGGGTATGTTCGTTAATCTTCTTAATTACTGTTTCCTCTATTGTATGAATTCTGGCTTTGCATCTTCCATCTTCATGGCATCGCCAAAACTTGACATCATTCTGTGTCTAATTTGTCAAATCGATATAAATATCCCTCATGACAGAATTCCTCTCATTCCTCTCTTACTTTGCACTGGTTGTGCCATGGGTTGAAGTTTGAAGTTTAAAGTTTAAGGAAGTTAGAATAGCTGGCGTCAGCTCCAAAAGCAAACTATACAGAGGTGAGTGGGTGAGGAGCAGGCAGGCAGCAGGTAGCGTTCCACACCCTGCTGGTGCGGTGCTCTCTCTCGGTCTGTTGCTGGTAAGCTTAACCAACCGCCCTCGCCTCACGAATATGGAGGGGGAGTGGAGGAGGTGGGGGGTTAAGAGGCGAGAAGGGTTTAGTTGCGGCTCTGCTATATAGTATTTGTGGTAATTTCTAATATCCATAAAGATAGTAATGATATCATTAATATGTAAACATACAAAACTTTAGCTGTGTCGTTCTTTTAAGGCGACCGATCTAATATACTATAGGAATAGCCGTGTGTCTGTTCTGGGCAGCCGAAACGGCACAATCGTTTTTCATCAAACTTGGTGGAAAAATCGCCAAAAATTCGTAGAGTGGAACAAACCTGGTCTCATGTCGATGGTTTCTTTAGGAAGGCATTAATTAACCATTTTATTTACGCTGGAAAACGATTTCGCTGTACGCTGTCAGCCGGATAGCGAACCGGGCACGAAGGGCCTGCGATCACTTGTTACTCTTTATAAATGCCAAACGTCATATTTTGTCGTTAATAGGGAAACTGTTTGCACCTTGTTTCCTACCACCCCTCCCCATCCCCACTTCCAACGGTTATACAGGAAAGACACCTGTTATGGCTAATGAGGAGTTGGGGCATGATAATATCCTGTAACATAGGTGCAATATCATTGATGAAAATTCGTTTGGTTAAATAATAAACGATAATAGAATTTCAGATTCAACTAGACCAGGGGTCACCAAACTTTTTTCACAGTGGGCCGGATAACTGAAAGAATGACGAGCGCGGGCCGCATAATCATTCTGTTCAATACTTGCAAGCCAGAACAAAAGCTCTGGTAACGTCAGAGCGTAGGCGGAGCTACCACGAGCCGGGGAAGGACTTGGGATCCGGCCCGCGGGCCGTAGTTTGGTGACCCCTGAACTAGACAGACGTAACAAGAAATCAATATATCTCTCTCTCTCTCAATATTAATAAGTTGAATACAACATATAATATATATCTAGTATAGTATACAGTATTATACCACGTTATCCAAGTTGAACGGAACGCACAGGCGCTGAAAGGTCTGGTAATGAAACTGCGGTGCTGAATTGGGCCATCCCCTTAACTTACAGCCAGCTTGAAGCAGTGTACAGTAAGAGATTATGAAGTCAGGGTGGGTTTGTGGGAAGGCAGACTTGTGGAAAAGTGTGAAAGGCGGTCACAAAAGTTATCGTGTATATTAAAGGCTCTACTGACCCTAAGATCCCAAATTAAACGTAAATATGCTATAATGTTAGAAATAAAAATACTGTACAGTAAATTTATAAAACTATAACTTTATTCACACCCTCCAAGGAGGTGGACTACTTGAGAGAAACTGATGAAGACATTCAATATAGAAGCCTTCCAGAATTTACATGATTGATTAAAATAAGTAAAAATATCCATGAGGGATAACTACTATTGAAATTTAGTAAATACAGTACAGTATTGTACAGTACACAATATGTTTTTTCTTTTATGTATCCCTGCATTCATATCTACAGGTACTCCTCGACTTACGACCACTCGGACATACTACCGCCGCAGTCGTACAAAAAAAAAATTCAAATTACGTATTTTCGAGTCCCAACGTTAGTGGTAGCGCTGGGTACTGAAAAATTTTTTTTTGTATTTCCCTTTAAAATGGATGGCAAGCGTAAAAGTGAGAGTTCTCGTGGTGCTGAGAAGAAAAAGAGACACCCAAAAATTTATTTAAATCTACCCAAAAATAGTTAAATTTTTTTTTTACATTATTAAAATGTATTATGTACTAAAATTTTTATCTCTTGTGCAAAATATGACATTTATATTCAAATTAATCACTATCTCATAAGAATTCCAGCAATGTAAATTAAATTTTCCCCGGTATCTTCTATGACATTTTATAAACAAAAAACAAAAACTCAATCTAAAGGACATAAATAAACAAATAAATACTTCACTAGACCTTCGGCTCCAACTGTTAAACATGTCACTGTCAAACCTCCCTCCCAGCCAGGGTTTGGAGATTTTAGGCTTAAAGTTTTTATCTTATATAATATCACACACTAAAGTTAGGAGAATATAATTTGCATTGCTGGAATCCTTGCAAGACAGCGAATAATTTGAATATAAATGTCATAAACAGACATCCCCCGTGTTACAGAACCTCGGGTTGCGGAATTTTGCTCTTACGGAATTTGTAAATTATGACCAATAATTTCGCGATACGGCCCGTAAATCTGCCCTTGCGGAAATTGGGGTAAATTTTAAAAGTTTTGTTCTGTACTTTGTGTGTTAAAGGTTGGTCAGGTGCCTAGGATATCACTTGATATGTAAATAGTTTTTCTTTACACAATACAGTATTGTCTGGTTATCCAGTACAAATATTTTTTTACAGTAAATCCTCAATAAATCGGACTTCATTATATCGGCATTCACTTTTTTTTGGATTGTATGGTTCACTGGTCACCAGAAATACTATAAAAAAGTTCATGTTTAAGAAATGGGGAAGATAAATACAAAAATCTGATGAAATGAACAACACTTACTGAATACTGTACAGTGGTCTAATGAGATTTGTTATAGGCCGACTGAGAACTAAGACACTTGAGTATGGAAGCAAGTTGGGACTCATTAGGTGTTGCCACAAAGGTTAGGTTTATTTATTTATTGATTCTGTATTATATTCTCTTGTGATTGACCTCTTATAGTTTATGGTTCATCAAGATTAAAATAACATCTTCAGTAATAGAGAAAAATTACAATACTGTACTGTATATAATTTGTAATATGACTTGAAAATTAAAGGATAAGCTGTATCAGAAGGTTATTTATTCAAGATGACCAGCTTACAACAGGAATGACTATAACACACTGTATAGTATTTGATATGAAGATACCTTACTACCATCCAGTGTTATATGATGGCTTAATTTGACTACCTTTACACTTAG